CTATATTCCACATTCTCTCGAAAAGTCTTCGTAAAAAATTCTGTGATACTTCGTTTATGTAAAGGAATGGAAAAGAAATTCAAAATTTGAGGCATAAGAAAAAATAAAGTACTCCAAAACGGATGAACATCAAAGATCTTTTTTCCCCAATATCGAAACTCACTATCCTCTTTCGCTATACAATTGGATTTGACTCCAAAAGCTGTTGACATAATTATATCCGTTGTATATCTACAAATACATTTTCAACAAATTATTGTGGTAATATTAAAAAACATTTTTACGTACAATTTTTTTTTAATAATTTTTGTATGAATATAATACGTACAATTTTTTTTAATCATCCTTGTATGAATATAATATATATATTATATTCATACAAAGATTATATCTTTAAAAAAATTTTACCTTCCAAACCAATCTTTTATCTCGATTGAATCGCCTGTTTGTGCCACATTTTCTAAATTTTTCACAAATTCATCGCCGCACATTTTCATAATCGCAAACATTTGCTTTATTTTTCCTGAAGTAAAAGTGGGTGTCAACTTGACGCGCAAATTCCGCCACTTCTGCCCAGACAGTGCAAACAAATGACCGATCAGTGGATCAATCTTCTCGTTGCAAAACACTCCGCGATCATGGAAATTCTTGAATTCCTTTATCAGCACGATTCGAATAAGATCAGGATCAGTAATTATCAGATTTGGCTTGAAAAATACGTATATTCCAAAGGCACGATGTTCCTTATATTTCATGTAGACATCATGGAAGAATTCGCCTGTTAACAAAATTTTTTTCCACCAGTTTTTGTTTCAAATAAAATGAAAAAAGGAAAACAGAGGAAAAAAAACAAATATTAAAGATAATGAAGATTGCTTGCGTAAAAATAAATGCATTATAAGGATTATAATATATTCTTATAATATATATAATATTATAAGAAAATATACTCGCCTATTGTTCTTTTTTTAGTCACTATGGATCCAATATTACCAGTTGGCACAACAGGTTTAATATAAAAAATATTTCTTTTGCGCCAGTAATTAAATAACACATACTTATAATAAGTATACGCAATAATCAAAGCAACAATGAAAATCCCAATTAATTCCGCGAATAACATCGTAAGTTTTCGTCTAAAATAAATAAAATTAAGCTATTTCATTATAAATCATCATGATTATCAAATTATAAAATCAAATTCAATAATTTGATTAGAATCATAAAAATGCAAAATATTGCGAAGATATAAAGCCAATAAAATAAATTAGTATATTTAACATTGAGTTTATTATTAGAGAAATTAAAGTTAATTTTTATTTTCTCTTTCTTTTGCATGAATTAGGAAAAAAATATTATAATAGTATAGAAAATGTTCTTTTTGTTCATAAATTAATTTTACTTTAATAGAATTTTAATTTTATAATAGTAAAAGAGCCTTCTATCTAAATAAATTAAACAGTAATCGGGCTTGAGGAGCTAATATTATTATAATATTAGCTCCTCAAGCCCGATTACTGTTTAATTTAATTTTATAATATTATTTGATTGACTTAACTCGATGATACTATTTAAATATTTAAATATCAAATCTTAAAAACTCTTACGATAAATAATATTTTTGCATGTTTATATTAAAAATTGACTTATTAAATAATCTGTTATTATAAAAATATGCAAATTTATCTGAAATATTTTTTATATGTTAAATTTTAAAAAAATTTATGCAGTTATCAATATTACATTTTTTACACAAGGACCGTTTAAAATAATTTTTCCATCAAAAAGCAATCAATTGTTTGTAAGCTATATCACTGTCACTACATGTGTATGACGATATATTGAATGGATATGTTTTCACCAATATTTTTAAAGCACTGAAGGATATTTAAATCGCGGATGCGCTTATATAATGAACATTTCGTTATATAATCATTATTTTTTAAATATCATATAATCACTATTTTTTTATTAACATTATATGTAAGAGAACATTATATGTAAGTGATATTATATGTAAGTGAAGTAAATGTGCAATGACAAGAGTTATCTTTTTAAAATAACTTTATAAATTGCTGACTAATCTTTTCTTTTTTATCTTAATGATAATATTCACACTGCAAGCAGAATATGCGATTTTGGAGTCATCGATTTAAGTGCAAATTCAAATTATATGCATTAAAAATTCTTTCATATGTAAAGAGAATTTTATTCGTAGAATGTATGAATATATATATATATATAGGTTTGCCTTTCGAACGTAGGTTTCAAAACATTTAATCGACCCTTTATAAGGCCAAAAATTATTTAGAACATCGGAGTTTTTATTTTCCAATTATTTTGGATTTAAATTATTCGCGTGTTATCTAATCTACTTATTTTACATTCAGTCATTGCTTCGATGATATCAATTGAAAAATCTCTTCTTATTAATTATGTTATATTGAAAAATTATTTTCTACTTTCGGTTTATACAGTAAAATACGCAATAGGCTGGAAAAAGGAAAAGGGTCCAAACTGATATTTATTATGAGAACTTTATTCAAACAGTTTAATTCTAAATGATGATTAGAAATAATATTTATTTTAATGTTTCATTTGAAATTCATTTCTATTCATTTTTTATAATATAATATATTATATTATAACATATTATTCTCCATTCTGCTTTCGGCTTAATATATACATGATGTTTGGAAATTCAACCGACAAATTTTCAGAGATTGTCGAAGACACCATAAGAATCATATTTTGCAAATAAAGCTGAGGTCGGAAACGTGTCGTTACAGCGCTACGGAATACGGAGTGTTTGAAAGAGTCGGGAGTTCGAAATATCACAAAAAAATAGAAGTTTTACAAAAAATTGTTTTAAACAAAAATTGTAGGGTATAAAAAGGTCTATTTACTGGTGCCATGTATTTGACCTTGAATGACATCGTCAAGGTCACGACAAGGCAACCTTGAATTTTTGAAATGGAACCCTCTACTTTTTATTACATATTCTTGTATCCCTTCTTCAGACCTTTTCAAAATACTATAATTAAGTTAGTTTTCATTAAGTTTCTTTCCGAGTTATGAGGCCTGAAATCATTTTTTAATTTTATATAAACCGTAAAATATCTAGTAAAATATTCATTTTTCGATTATCTTGCTTTAATACTTTTATGTACAAAATAATGAGAGAAATCAATTGGTATAAAGGAAACACAGTTTCGAAAAAAAAATATGTAATTGGTAATTGCAAATTACATATTTTTTCTGTTGCCGAACTTGAAAAACATTGTTAATGCCTGTAAGAAGACTTCTAAGACGAGAAATGAGACAAAATATTGTATTGCAAAAATTTTAATAACTCAAAAACTAATTATTTCCGAACCTATGTTGATTAAATTCTTTTTCTTCTCTAAGTATGTGGAATCCATTCCTGAAATTTTGCCTACGACTTATGAAACACCCTGTATACTTATATGAAATATATATCAGTGTTCAACATACATATGTAAAATAAATTTTATTACAATAAACATGTATATTAATATTATTTATTAATTTAATTACATACTTTAAAAATATATTAAAATAAAACACATTTTTTAAAAATCATGTTTAAAACATTTGTTTTTTTAAATATGTTTAATACAAAATTGTATTTAATTTGATGTAATGTAAAAAACATGTTTTAAACATTTGCTTCAAACATAAATGTTTAAAACATAACAATCCTGTTACATATTCACGCGTAATTTTAAATGATATGGAGAATGATATATTTTATTTTATAAATTAATTATTAAACAATTATTTATTAAGCGATTGATGTAACACGGCACCATTCGTTATGCTACATATTTGGATTTATTCGATTGTTTTACCGCTCTTTTTCGAAATCAAATTCTATAATATTTAGTTTTAAAGGACTAACTTATAGCGAACTAAATAAATAAATAAACTAATGTTGAGAAGAAAAAGAATAAAAAACATAAATAAATAAATAAATAGCGTGGAATTAAGAGAGAATATATTAATATTTTTATTATAATAAATTATTATGAATTAAATTATTTATATTCTTATTTATATTTTTTATATTATTTATATTATTAGGGAGAAGACTGAGAGGTATCATGGTCTGCTTGATTTCTGAAAGAGGGTATGGACCTCATATAGATATTTAGATATTTATTAAATATCTAGTAGATAAATTTTTCCGAGTAGGAATATATGTATGGGAAATATAATAAAAATAAAAAAATAATTTTTATGTTTTTTTTTAAGTAAAATTTGAAGAAGTAAAACATTTTACCTATATATAATTATTAGAGTCCAGATGTCAGTTCCGTTTTCCTCACTCTCATTCATAATATCAAAAATTATCATATATCGTTGCATACATTAGAGTAACATTGATTATCTGACGTACATTACCAATCTTTTTAAGATACGACATATTATTATGTATAAGAGATTATTTATAGATAGACTATATTTTGACGACGGTACAATTATTTATGATGTACAAAATTATCTATGATGATTGTTTGACGTACATTGATTGACGTATGCATCACCAATATTTTTAATTCCTCATACAATGTATTAATACGACATGTTATTAAATATGTATAAGGAATTAATTATAGATAGACTATTTTGACTACAGTAAAATTATCTACAAAATTATTTATGATGATATATCATTTATATAATATCCCGAGAAAAAATGAGTGTAATATATTCAGATATAAATATGCGTAATTTTATATGATAACATATAATAATGACCAAAAATTGGCGCAATATGATTTTAATTTATATGATCATATTCGACTAGATCGTAACCTTCTACATACTGTTAGGTATGCCAACGGAGATGTCAGTTTATGATAGTCTTTTGAAGCAATAAGTTCGCGATTGAATGCTTTTGGTATTAAATCTGGTACTAAAACTGGCTAATTCAACTAGTAGGATAAGACATTAAATATATAATAAAATATTTATCTTTCTTTCTTTAAATGTGCATATAAAATTGTGTGAAGGAACAGGTAACGCTTCTATTTTATAAAAGACATTTTCTTTAATTTTTAAATCAACTAATTTTTATTATTTTAAGTATTGTTTTTATCTTTTACATATATTACAATTAACAAAAATAAAGACATTTATGTTTGTATTGTGATAACATGTTTCGAGCATTTTGAAATATAGAATGTATAAAATCTATAAGCAAAATTTCTTTTTGACATTATAAAATTATTATGTAATTTTATATTATTGCTATAAAATTTTATCTAAGTTATAAAATATTATCTAAGCTAAAGCTATAAAATTATCTATCTTAAAAACGTATGATATTACCTATGTGTTGTTTTTAAAATATTTTTTATAATGAATGTATAGAATATGTTAATTTGAATGTGTAATGAACGAATTAACAACAAATAATAAAAAATTAACATTTTATTCAAAAAGATGTGTTATAAAAATATTAATATAATTGTTTTTAGAATTTTGTTAGAATGTTTGACACAAATCATTATATTATCAAAAATTTCAACTATTTGATGATATTTGATTTCCGTTCAGTGTTTGTAGGTGTTTAATACATTTCTCACTTAAGAAACAAATTGATCTTAAAAATAACATGTTAGTAAATATACAATCCATATCACGAATAAAATCCCATTTTTGAAACTATTCCTTTACTTCTCATACATTTTAAGAAAAGATTTTATAAGATATATATATATATATATATATATATATATATATATAAATTGCTATTAACATTAAATTAACGTAATCATTGTATAGTTTAATAATTAAATTTTTATTTAGAAATTTTGCGATGTGCACTACCATATTTGACTGCAATTTCATTTTACAATGTTTACAAGACCATCCCAACCACGACATAAATGAAATTAAACCATATTCTCTACCACAAGTGTCTTATTCGATTCAAAATACATGGTTAGATGATATCGAGCAAAAAATATTGTCTCGCATTAAAAATAAATATCCTACATATCCAATATTTTGGATTTCTTCTGAAAAACTTTCCTTTTGGGAAGAGACCAATATCAATGACACTTTCTGGGATAAGACAGAAATAATACAAATTGTGGAAATACTCGACGAGTATGTATTTTCGATAGAAATGCTCCATAAATTGGTTCAACTATGGCGACAATTAGATCCGAAAAACCATCGTTCTGTAAGTTATTCATAACAAATACATTACTAAACAAATACACATTACGGATTAAATGAATTAAATTTTGTTAAGAGAAAAGTTTCCACATATTTTTCTAGAATATATTAAAGTGAATTACTTAAAATAATTTTAAGTTGTTCAACAATAATAAACTAACGCACAAAAATGAAAATGTCAAAATATGTCTCCGAATTTTAAAAAATTAACGTCTTTCAAAATTCAAAATTTATATCTCTGTTACGCAATATATTAAATTATACAGTCATATTTTGCTCTGCGTTAAACGCAACTTTATGCTCTATGTTAATATTCATAGAATCGTTTATTCTAATGTAATTTATGCCTTAGGAAAGCTCAGCACATTTTAGGGACCGTATACTATATGCTACATATCACAGTGTAGCTAGTAGACTCCGTATAGATTGCGATTCGTCGGTAGATCTACTAGACCAATTTCTAAAAAAAAAAACAAAATTTTCTAGTCTCGAAAAGCATAAGTATAATTTTAGCTTTAGTTTTATAAAGAATCCTGATGATATTTATATGTATTTATACTGCATGACTCCATATATATATATCTATATTGTAAAAGTTTATTGTAAAATTATCTACAAATTTATGAAGATATTTGTTTTTGTGTAAATCGATAAAATAGAATGTATCGTGCATATAATTAAATAAAATAAATAAAAAATAAATAAATAAAATAATTATAATCAGATTTGCTCATAATAAATTGTATTAACATTAGAGTTAGAAAAATATGTTCCAACGTCCATCTGTGCATCCTTCTTCAATAGACTAAGCGGATCGCTATTTACATATTATCTGAAAGAGCGTCACAGATATAGTGATAAGTTCCGGTTCTTATTCTCGAAGCACAAACAGAATGTAAACGGAGATACTCATCCGATACATTATCATTACTGGGTAACGCCACCACAATTTAAGACTGTTATTGACTCCCAAAAGAATCGTGATTATAATTACTCCACAAAAAACAACAACCACGTAGATTCTTCCGAAGTTCTTGTTCTCCCCATTGACTTCACAGAGAAACAGTGCGAGATTGATAATAAAGGTTTAAATCTTATTGATAAATGGTTTGTCAATCTGTCTTCCACTATTATTCCGGATGACATAGTTAGTTTTTTGCAGTTGGGAGATAATTTTAGTCTACCAATTAAAAATAGGAAATTATTGATTTTCGAGTTTATTAAAAATTTTGAATATAGTTTAAACAAACTCCCACCGAATAAGCGTGCTGAATTTAGAAATAATTCCTTGAGCCTGTTGAATATGATTTCTGCTTACTCTTACAACAACAACTCCATAAATAATCATCTTCTGGATTTACACCACAAAACAAAAAATTTTTTAAATAATCCGAACATTATCGTTACTCGGGCTGACAAAGGCAATACCACAGTAGCTTTAGATAAAGATGATTACATAAATAAAGTTGAAAAATTATTAGAAGACAAAGACACGTATTTAGTAGTCTTGAAAATCCAATCAATAAATTGATTTCCAACCTACGAGAACTCTTAATAAGATGGAAAAATAAAGGCTTTATCTCTCAGGGTATTTATCGTTCTCTATTATTCACGGACGGCTCGCTTCCCAAAGCTTATGGCCTACCTAAAATCCACAAAACCAATTGTCCTTACAGGATCATAGTCTCATCTATTAACAATTCGCTTTACAAATTATCTCTATATCTTCATAAACTAATGTATAATAATTTCCCCACAGCTCACAGCCATATAAACAATAACTTTGAACTGGTAGATAAATTAGCACATATTAATATAAAAGACGATTGCAGTCTAATCTCGTTGGATGTTGTATCTTTGTTTACCAATGTTCCTATAGACCTCGCGTTGGAGAGTATTTCAAATAGATGGCAATTTTTAGGTGGAATATGTGACATTCCAAAGTCCGATTTTCTTAATGGAGTTAAATTAGTATTATGTTCCACCTTTTTTACATTTAATGGCAAAATTTACCGCCAACTTTTGGAATGACCCCCATGGGGTCACCCCTTTCTCCTATAATCTCGGATTTGGTAATGCAGAACTTAGAGAACAGGGCGTTGGCATTACTATCTTACATTCCCTCCATCTTTGTAAGTTCTCTATCTATATATACAGGGTGTTTCATTTTAATCCGACCACCTAAATTTCTCGGAACCTAAGCAAGATAGAGAAAAATGTTTTAGACAAAAGTTGTATGGTTTCAAGGGGGACATAAGATGGTGTCATTAGTTTGATCTTGAAGAGCCACCTGAAGGACACGCGAAGGTCAGCTCCAACTTTTTAAATGGGACACCCTATATGCTTTTGCATATTCTTATAGCTCATCTCAAGAGCTTTCCAAAACACTATAATTAAGTTAGTTTTCATTAAGTACTTTCCAAGTTATGAGGCTTGAAATCATTTTTTAATTTTACATAAACCGTAAAATATCTTGTAAAATATTCATTTTTCGATTATTTTACCTTAATACTTTTATGTACAAAATAATGAGAAGAATCAATTGGTGTAAAGAAAAGACATAGTTATTTTTAAGAAAAAATATGTAATTGTTAATTGCAAATTACATATTTTTTTTTCAAAACAACTATGAGTTTTCTCTACACCAATTGATTTCTCTCATTATTTTGTACATAAAAGTATTAAGGTAAAATAATCGAAAAATGAATATTTTACAAGATATTTTACGGTTTATGTAAAATTAAAAAATGATTTCAAGCCTCATAACTTGGAAAGTACTTAATGAAAACTAACTTAATTATAGTGTTTTGGAAAGCTCTTGAGATGAGCTACAAGAATATGCAAAAGTATATAGGGTGTTCCATTTAAAAAGTTGGAGCTGACCTTCGCGTGTCCTTCAAGTGGCTCTTCAAGATCAAACTAATGACACCATCTTATGTCCCCCTTGAAACCATACAACTTTTGTCTAAAACATTTTTCTCTATCTTGCTTAGGTTCCGAGAAATTTAGGTGGTCGGATTAAAATGAAACACCCTGTATAATAAGTCTATGTTGATGACATACTAATGGCCGTTCCCACTGACTCTATTACTGAAACATTTGACATCTTCAATTCTCTCCACGGGAGACTGCAGTTTACCCTTGAAATTGAAAATAATAGATGCCTGAATTTCCTAGACATTAGTATTATAATTGAGAACAACACCTTAATCTACAATTGGTACCACAAACCAACATTTTCTGGTAGATATCTCAATTATTACTCACAGCATCCTCTCTGCCAGAAAAAAGGCACTATCATCGGCCTTACTGATAGAGCATTCCGACTATCACATCCTCGCTTCCATACGGCTAATTTCAAAATAATTATCAACATATTACTAAAGAATAATTACCCCCTAATATTTATCTTCCGAACGATAACTGGTAGATTGGATTTTTTAATTAATAGTTCTATTACAATTACTCCGCAGAATACTTTACATGAAGATTCTTCCTACCTTACGATACCGTTCTTACCGGGCCTTTCTGAGAAATTTAAATTGATAGCTCGAAAATTCGACTTAAAGCTGTCTTATTATAGTATGAACAAGCTCAATTCACTCATCAAGGTTCATAAAGATACGGTTCCTAGACTACAGAAGACGAACGTGGTTTACAAGATTGATTGTGCAGACTGCGATGCGTCTTATGTTGGCCAAATCAGCAGAATGCTTAAAACGAGAATTTCTGAACATCGCCTGCATATCGGACGCAATTTGTGTTCAAGATCCGTTATCACAGACCATAGATTATCACATGATCACGATTTTAAATGGGACGACATAACAGTACTTGACAATGAGCCTAATTATTATAAAAGAATTTTGTCTGAAGCTATTTTCATAAAAAGACAAATTAACGGCTTAAATTTTCAAACAGACACTGAGTGTTTACCTGAGATTCGTATAATAGTCTTATAAACAATCTTCATGAGCTCTGACTTTCATATATAAACGAGGTACTTTTACTCATTACCGCACTTGTGGTTTGAACTTGCACTGAAATATTTAAGATCTTTCACACTCTCTTGCTACTGGATAATTGCTATATTCGAGTGAGTTACTATTTTTTTGTAAGTTTAAGTTTTTTAGATTGTTTTTGACTTTGCTATCTCTATTTTTTATTTAGCACGAGATCTCTCTCTACCATGGGAGCACACCCACTGGCAAATAAACTAGCAGGGAGACTGCATGGTTATAGTTTATCTCTGCAACTGAGTATAGCAAGGTTTTTTCTGTTTACATTTTGCATCTTTTTATTCTGTGACATTGCATCTGTTGCATTGTTTTTGACGACCATATTTAATGCGTTTTGCGGATTATAATCCTGACTTATACTTCTACTAGCTTTATCCGTATTTATTTCATATCATTGCGCGGATGTATCGACATTTAACATCCACTTGTATTTTTATTTTTTGAATTTCGTAATGTTTAACTTATATTCCGTTAATTTCTTTCGAATTTATTTACCTACATATTTGTTTGCGCTGTAGAGGATCGAAAAATCGATCGAAACGTTCGCCTTTAATAATGTACATATGTTTAGCTTGTCTGTTATTATTGTAATGTCACCGTCGACATAGACTTATTCGAATGTATTCATTTTTCTAGATATAATTAAATTCTGTTAATACACTTCTATCCAGCTCTATACGACCGTTTTTAACTATTTGTAATTTGTTTAATTAGAGCCTTGATCACTTTATTGTAAATAAAATAATTAGAAATCGTATGCTTAAATATTTTTTATTGCTTTTAAATATTATTTAAAAGTTGTCAATCAATACTAAATGAAATAAATCGAGATAAAATTTAAAAACTTCAAATATATACATATAAAATAGAAAATTTTTATACGATATTTTAACATAATTCATAGAATAAAAACACACAAATATTAAAATAACTATTAAAAATAAAACACATTTATACAAAATAAATTTTATTTGGCAAGCAATAAGGTAAATATTAATATTTATGACGGATAAAGAAAAGAATAATCTATTAACTGTTTACGAAAGCTTTGTTTTTTATTAAATGTCCCTTATTTAATGTTTATATCGATAATTTATATACGACTATCTTACATACACTCGACAATAAAAATATTTTAATACACGCAATAAATGGACTATTAGCCATTTATCCGTCTAATTTCAACTAATCCATTTAAAATATTGAATTCCAACAAAGGATCTAGATTATTAAACAAATTACTTTAAATCAAGTCAGTTTGCCAGAAATTAAACTGATAAAAGAAAAGAAATATACTTTAGATCTTATGTTAGTCTGTATCAATTCTTATGATGGCTTTTATTTTTACCCATTTTCTCTCTCTCTGATGAAAATTTAAATACAAGTTAGTTAAGTTTGTCGTCGCGTAGCGACAAACGAAAAAACACATGTCATACACTAATATACATTTTTGTTATTTGAAAATGTTGCACATTGTGCTATAATATTGTTAAATAATATCTTTGCAATATTTTTGCAACTTTATAATGCAATGATCATTG